CTTATAGTCACCGGCGCTGGTGGTCGATGTGTTTGGTCAAAGTTCGTTCACTGGATGGCGATGAGTTTAACCAGATAAGCATATGCACGAATAATAACTTGTACAAACAGATAGTATGGTCATAGGAACTTAAAAGAAAAAGAAAAGAAAGAAGACCGAAGGTACGCCCTTTGAGATTCTTTTACTTTTCTATTGCTGTTAGTTTTAATATTTAGGTTCAAGGCATGGATTTTCACACTAGTTGAATTCATGTTTTTTAGTTTCTTTTTTGTGAGTTATGTCGTGTTAAATGAATAATAGGATATAAAAGGTTAAAGTATGGCTTTACAGATTCTCCTATCCTGTTAATTAAGCATGGCACAGACAGTGACACTGTATTTGCCTTGAGTCCTTTGACCGCGAGAACGCTTTAGAAATTCTTGCAAGCGTGAAACGTGATGGCGCAATATATTCCGATTTCTGCTTTCATTTACTTGAAACAATCTGTTAAAATTTTGTTGTAATGAAAGATTTTTCTGAGTATTACTGACATTTTATGGGGTTCACATTTTGCATTTTGTCTCATGTGAAACACAATGCGGAATCTATTGACAGTAGCATCAGTATCTACAGATCAGAGGCATGCCTAGAAATAAATATTTGTAACTGATAAAACATTTTCGGGAAGCAATTACATGTCTTCCGTGATTGCTGTAGTTTCCGTTGAGAATGAAAAACTGATTCAAGACTTGCAGGGAGAAAGGGGCTTCCCACATAAACCTTTATTTCCAGTGTAAGAACTCTGGGGAAAGTCACTGAGAGGTTTGCCAGCGGGAATTTCCCCCACCAAAAGATTATTTGATAAATCCAAGTCCTTAAGGTTTTTCAGGTTCAAAAACTCAACTGGTATTTTACCAGTAAAATGGTTTCTCTGCAGCTTCAGCGTCTTTAAAAGGCTTAGATTTGCTATGGCGTCTGCCAAGCTGAAACCCAACTTATTATAGCTCAAATCCAAACTTTGCAATGCCTTCAATTCCCCCACAGAAGTTGGTAACTGACCCTCGAGTAAATTATGTGATAAATTGAGATACTCGATTCTCTGCAGCGTTCCTACACCAATTTGCTCGATTCCAGTTGTGAAACTGTTGTCAGATAGGTCAACATACGTCAATGAACCATCCGGAAAGCTGTTTCCTATCTTGAAAACCTGACCCAGGGAGCCTGTTATCTTGTTTGAGTGGAGATCTAGCACTCCTAACTCCTGGAAGCGGGCAACTGAATCTGGAATATTTGAAACGAGATGGTTCCTTGACAGATTTAAGGAGTAGAGTTGAGTGAGGCTGCCAATCCATGCTGGTATGCCACCAGTGAGATGATTAACTGACAAGTCCAGTTCCTGTATTGGACTTGGAGTTGATCGCAAGAAGTCTGGTATTTGGCCTTGGATTCCACATCCTGCCAAATATAATTGGGAAAGAGATGGCAATTCTGCTAGCCATGTTGGAATGGAGGTGAGATTTAAAAGGTTGAACGAGAGATCCAGTGTTTGCAAATTTTGGAGGGCAGACATTTCATCAGGCAATGGTCCTTGAATTAAATTGTGAGAAATGCTTAAGAGTATGAGATGAGAGAGTTGACCAATTGATTTTGGTACAAGTCCAGATAACTTGTTACCGGTAAGATATAACTCTGTCAAAGCTTCTAGATTAGCCAAACTAGGGGGAATTGCTCCCTCAAACTTGTTATATGCTAGAGAAACCCTTTGGAGGGAGACCAGATATCCGAAATTGGGTGGTATTCTTCCACCTAGGTGGTTGTTTTGCAGCCTTAAAAATCCAAGCGAAGGCATTTGACGAAAAGTTGATGGAAATGGTATTTCTCCCTCAAGATGATTACTATCCAAGTACATGACTGAAATGGTTGTCAGATTGTTTACTGAAGGTGGAATTTCCCCACTCAAAAAATTGTCCGAAAGATCAAGCTCCTTCAAAAGCTGCAACTCACCAATATTTTCTGGTATATGACCAGTCAGGGAATTGCTATGAAGATCCAAATAGATGAGATTTGTCAAGTTCGTGAATGAATCAGGAATACTACCGGTGAATCTATTTGAATGTAGAAGTAAAGCATTAAGATTTTTAAGACAACCAAGGCTAGAAGGAGCAAACCCAGATAACTTATTATCATGCAGGTGAAGTTCTTCAAGTTTTAACAGCTTACCGATGCTTTCTGGTACAGACCCTTTTAGCTTGTTTCCATAAAGATAGAGCTTTCTCAGGTTCTGGAGCTGACCAATCAATGGTGGGATTTTTCCGGTAAGGCCTGTTAGCCCCCCAAGATCAAGGACTTGAAGAGAGGTGAGGAATGTGATTGATGGGGATAGCCAACCTTCCATCTGGGACTGAAAGACCAAATCATCCGTGGAAATGAATCCTGGCAGATGAATTTCTGTTACTCTACCAGTTGCATTGTTGCAGGAAACACCTTCCCATTTGCAACAACTATGACCAAACCACTTTGCTAGCCGACCAGAAGTGTCCATGTGGATTCCAGCCTTGAAACTGGTAAGACCTTTCAGGTCACCAGGGTTGCATTCTTCACTATGGCCTCTCTTTCTTCCGGATGCTGTTGTCATGATAGTCAATACTAGAAGAAGCCATAGCAATCGACCACCCATTCTTGTCTGGAGACCTGATTCTCTTGGTCTAGGGAGAAGAATATGCTAACTATTACCGGTTTCTCTCACTGTGGTCTGTGTGATCGAACAGGAAAGCAGGAATGTGAAATGGATGTGAGTTAATGGTAAAGTCGGAAAATTACTTGAGCCTATAACAACGAGTTGGGAGGCTTGAAATGGAGAAAACTGGGGTTGATCCAGGACATTGATTTCGCCTTTTCTTTTGTCCTCATTTTTTCCGGACTGTTTGTAATGCTAAAAGCACGTGTCTGGATCATGATGTCCTTGGTTAAAGTTAAAGGAGTCAATAGAGCTGAAAGATTACCTAAATTAACTATTCTGATAAATGCTCAATAGTTTTCAAATCATCCAAAAAAAAAAAAAAGGAGAATCTTTTGTTCCCTTTTTCTTTTTCATTTTAAAAAATCAAAAAGATATTTCTTAAGAATCATTCTGCAACGTCGTAGTAGCAGCTGCAAACTACGCTTTCTATCTATTTATACCCCAGAATAGATCCACTGACAACATCCAGTTCACCAAATTCTTGAAGCAAAGGTCATCACATGGTGAAATGATTCTTTTTGGTATCAGTGTCACAACCTCCTTATTAGATTGTTGTTCTTCACTGGAAGCGCGTTTCCGTTTTGGCAACTTCCATGTTCCTAGATCACTGGTGGTCCTGATGCTGTACTTTAAAAACTTCTATGGGCAGACATCAAAGGTTCTTTCTGCTTGTTTATGCACTCCAAGGAAAGACTGCTGTCTGCATTTTGGAATTTCGAGAAGGATCTTGCGCCTATCGGTATAGACTTCAGATTTCTTAAGCAATTAAGCTGTTGAATAGGATTAAAATATTAAAGGGGTATGTTTGAACTTCCAAGACAAGCTCAGCCTCTGTGTATCTGAATGCTACAGGAGTAGAACAATGCCATACGTCACTGATTCACAGTTGAATAAATATTGTCTGATGGTTAGATTGAGGACAGAAGATTCGACTCTTGGAGAGTATGTTAGGACCATGTGAGAGTACCACCAAGTTAAGACAGGCCTATATATATATATATAGCACAACTAGCAATAGCAAAAGAGGCATCTCAAAGTTTATAGTGACATGGAGGCAGAATGCGTTTGCCCTCCGCTCCATCGGATTTCCTTTGGTTGTTGTAAGAAGTCAAGACAGAATTTTTTTAGGTGATTCAGGTAACAAGACAGATAGGGAATTCATCACCATCATCCATTGGCTACACGTTGATTTATCGTTTAGGTAACGTGACAAGCTGGTTTTTCATGATTTTTTTTTTTGTTTTGTTATCACCAAGGAAAGAAACAAAATGCTATTGTTCACAATGTTGGTCCCTCAAAAGGGAGAGAAAGGAATTGTACAGAGCAGCATAGCTAGAAGGGTACACAGATTGAGACAAGCAAAAGAACAATGTTCAGACTCAAACTTGGAGTTTGTGAAGTCTTCTCTTATCAACAACTGGATAATAAATAATTGCAATGCTACTCCTTCCAGGTTTTATGTAAATATGGAGGCAAATTGTACAAGTTTTCCCACTCCAATCCATCTACCCTCTGGTATAAGTTGAAATCCTTATGCAGGAGCCTTTTGTTTTTCGTTTCCTTTTTAAATGAAGCAGTTAAGACTAAGAGAAAGGAAGAAAAAGAAAAGGAAAAACTTTCTTTAAAAACCAAGTAATTAAGATAATAAGATAGGAAGTACTTGGATGAATTAACAAACCCGGTATGCTTTATAGGAGATTTAAATAATTTTTTACCAGCTGAAAATAGCATCAATTACATAATCATTGGGATGTTCTATTTTAAATATCAGTAAATAAAGATAGAAAAAACAGAAATAAAAAACTCATTCACATGCTAAAGAAAACGGATTAATTTCGTTTTAAAAGCAAAGGAATGTAATTTTATTATGAGGCTCCTCTTTAATGTGTGGCAACTCTCCATCATTTCGGATCTCAAGACTTGTCACTGGAACTTGAGAGACCAAAAGCTCCTGCTCCACTAGGGTTGTTAACAATTTATAAGCAAAGAAATTAGCTACAACTTTCATGAGAACTACAAATTTCCCATTAATTTGCCGGATATCTTCACCATTTTGGATCAGGAAGCTAATTGCTGGAACTTTCGGAATCAGAAGCTCCTGTTTCGTTAGGCCTGTTAACAGTTTTATGAAACAGATTAAATGGAAAGTGCAGAGATATATCAATGACTCTGCATTCCTACATAAAAGAAAAACATCATACTCCTGAAAGTTGAAACAAGGATCTGAAACCTACTACTATTTTATTATATGGCAGTGTGTATAAATGGCCAATGGCTGCTTGGTTGCTTTGCTATATGGAAAGAGCAAACATTAATGGTCGAACTCTAGTTACTCCCGTGGGATACAACTGAAGATATAGATTTGGCAGATATCGATGCTGTAGGGCTTGTTACATCTCTATCCATACTGCTAAAGTTGGCTTTACCAGATAACATCTTTATTGCTATTTGAGCAACTTCAGCAAACCAGTCATCCTCTGGCAACACACTGCAAAAACAAGGGTTATCAGCTTACCTGCTGAACAAATTGAATAATTCTTGACAGTCAAGTACTTCAAAAGATCATTCAAACAAAAAGTAGCTGGCTTTGATTTTACAAGTAGAGTTGCTGATAAATGAAAAAGCTCCCACGAGGAAGTCTTTTCTATTTAACAATCTTTTGTTGACTGTATTTACCTGTATGGATCAATTCCAGTTGCGGTAACTGCATCCATAGCTCTCTCTATTATGTTCTTGATCACTTGTTGCAGATTTCGAGACAGATATCGGCCTTGAGAAGAGAAAATGATAACAAACTCCATATCCAGATAAAACTGCGTCAGGATCAAAAGTTGCATGGAGTTCAATCACTAAAAAACAAACTAATCATCAATATAGTAATGGTTTTACCCCATGTGAGTATACCTGTTGAAGACCAAGGGGACCCAAAGGCATAGGCCCCTGCTCTATCTGTTCCCAAAAGCTTTGATCATCAGAAAGCCAAAGGATCACCGTCTCTGTGAGTCTCATTAACAGAATAGTAGCAAATCTTTCCCTACCCACAAACATATCAGTCGCAATACTTGCAACCCGTGTCAATTTTAAAAAAAGTTCCTGAACAATACAAACTTAGGATTAGAAAAGGTGGAATTTTTAACAATGCATCAGAGATGCAATCTTATTTCTACAATATTTGGACTATAGTTGTGAAAGACCTTACTGTGTTAGCCGAGTCCCTGGCATGAAACACTACAGTATTTCTAGTTGCATACCTTATTTATCTTTATCGGACAGTGTGGAGAGGAGACAGATCAAGCATGAAGAAAAACAACTGTACTAATGAGGGAGAAGACCAGCATTTTAGTTTTTGTTTTTGTTTTTTTTTTATAATTAAGACCAGCAATTATGGTGCTTGAAAAACTTAAACGTGGTACAGCTTTACATTTAGGTGCATTTTAAGGGTATGTTTTTTGCCTGTATGCACATACAGATACTACTAAACATTAGGGCAAGAACTCTACAAAATATGTTATATGGTTAATGTCATATACATCAGTGATGGCTTTTAAGAACTCCAGAATCATGCTTTCATGTGTCTATTTAATTACAAACAAGGTTCATAATGCTGAAGTATGAAGTTAACATATTTGGTTAAACGGAGACAGGGCAAGTACATAAGCTCTCTTGTGAAGTTTTTAAACTCTACTGCAGTTTATTACTGTAAGGTAATATTGTATGGTTATATTGTCATATCCGCAATTCTGTTATACCTTAGACATGGTCTATATATCGCTTGGTTTGAGTTTGCCATTCATTACAGTGCATGCTTATGTCAAAAAACCAAGATATCTCAGTTAACAAATTTGCAAATTTATAACCTGGAAAATTGGAGATGGAAACCATTCAGGTTCTTCTGAATTCCCATCCAAGCTTATATATATCTGTGCATTGAGACGGATGTCCCCATCTTCTGTGAAGATGAGGTCAAGGGCATGTTGTCTACAGAAGCTATCTCGCAAGCGATCAACTGAGCGCTGAAGTTTCCTCTTCCATTCCCTTTGTTCTGGAAGACGGCTTTGCCTATCTGAAGCTCTTTTAGGGGTGGCATCCACTCTGTTAGACTGGCTCAATGGCAAAAGCTTCATTGCAGAACGGGGAAGTAGTTCATCTGCTAGCAATGATGCATTGGCGAGTAATGCCATTTGTTGGGATTCGTTCTCGGCCATTCTAACAATTTTACTGCCAGAACCTTCTAAATTTTCTTCATTTTCCATTGATCCAGGCAATGCATTTATCAACAGATTAACATAGGAGTTGAATACTTGTAAAACACCTTCTAAAGCTGGACCATCCAACTGAAGACTCTCAAGGGGACCAACATCCTCCAGAAATTCCTGAAACCAGACAAAATGCACAATTAGGAACACTAAAGATTCTAAAGTTTGCAATAAAAGAAGTAAAAAAAAACACTTAATGATGTTTTTATCCCATAATATTAATCAAATTTAACACTTCACTTCCTCACCGAACTGGTAAAACGAGGTGCAATAAGACAAGCCCAGATAAATAAGATTTTCTTTTTCGACAGGTCTAATAGACACTGAGGTTGAGTTAGGAAAAGAAATAAATAACTTTTCAAAGAAAAGAAAAGTAAGATAAAAGTGAAATGAACCCATTAGTACTGTTAGGATATCCTATTGAGAAGGAAGCAAAAATAATTACCTGAACCATTGAATTGAATCTGTGAGCACTGCTTGAAAGCTTTGGTTGTGACACATTTGCATTATTAAGAGATGAAGTAGAAGAGAATGGACGTGCACCAACTGATGCATAAGTAAGCACCCAATCATCTGCTGCAGCTAGAGCAGCACTGCTCTGTTCAATTCTTTTTAAGTTGGCACTGAATGCCAATTGGACACTGGGCCTAAAAAGCCTCAATAATACGGGGGAAAGGGCCAATCCACGAGCTTCTAACAAAGAGCAATGGCCGAGGCATATCTGAATACATTCAGTGGCAACTCTTAGACCCCCTGCAGCTGCTGATAAAGCTAGAACATGTCTCTTTAAGAGAAGTGCAAAAGCTTCAGTTTGCTTGATAGCCCAAGTTACAAGTTCAGATGAGTAAGCAGGCTCCTCACCAAAAACTGCCAAGGAATCACTAGCAGCCTGTGCAATGGTTGAAAATACCAGCTGTGAAAGGGCTGAAGTAAACGCTCCTCCATAAGAAGTGCTTGAAGGGCGAAGGCTTTGCATACCACGCTGCAGCCTTTGTTGGTGAGAATTGAGTAGCAACGTATGGGCACGAGGACCATCCCCAAGGTTTTTAATGGTTAAAACAGCAGAACGAAGCTCGGCACCATGTGTGAAAGGTTGGCAAGTAGCCTCTGCAAGCTGATCAACCAGTTTTTGTCTCAGCACACTGAGGGCATTCTTCAATTTTAGGAGTGCATCCGAGCTTAAGGTCTGTTTACTTTTAGCTTCTTTTGCTAATTGCTCCCCTTCAGCCAATGCAGCCATAGCTTCTTCTACTCTCTTTTCCGTCAATAGAACTTCAAGGGTGTCCAAAAATTCTACAAACCACTTCTCTGTTTTGGTAAGTTTTGTATTTTCAACATCAGATATGTCCTCCGCTTCTGAATCTTCAGGACCGGTTGACAAGGAATCAAGGATGATACCTTCAGCTAAACCATGAACTAAAGCTGCCTGAGTAGATAGAAGATTCCTCATGGAAAGGAGTTCCCCCTCAAGAACTGAAATCTCCTTGGATGTGCTTCGAATGCAAACAATGTAAAACTTTAGACACAAAATTACATATTCACACTTTATGTCGACTCTGTGTTGGGATTTTCAAGTAAAAACATATTTAATATTGAAATCGGCATAAAATAAACCCACAGAAGATACATTATTTAAAGATTTAGCACCCATTGCCTATTTCCTTCGACCAAGAGAGAAAAATCTAATATAAACATAAAAAAAAATAATACTAAGATTACAAAACAACCGTAAAAGAAACACTAAAATTAAGTCCCAAAACAAATCTAGTTTTTAAGCTCCTTAGGTCTAAACCCATGAAATATGCTCTATCCCATGTGACCTTATAACATGATATTACCCCCCTCTTCTTCACATCCCTACAACTCAATAATACTCCCATAAAAAATCAATCTCTCACAAGAAATCGCATGGACATTATATTTCTCTGAAAAGCTAAAATGGATTCCATATTTATAGTCATTACTTCTCATCGAAAAATTCCTACTCACAAGCATCTCTTACCCATTCCAAGAAGTTTGAAAACTTGGGACCTAGTGAACTAAAAAGGTCAAGGAAGATTTGCAGGCTCCAAAGGAGGTAGAGTGATCTTTGTTGTTGAAGGGTTGGGTTTTGTTCCAGCGTGAAAGCTTAACTCTGCTTCATCAATGGGGTTCGCGGAAGAAAACGCAGCAGTAGCACGTGTTTAGCTTTAGTAGTAGTTGGCGTTTAAATCTTTTACTATGTCGTTGCAAAATTCCTTCTAAGCCGTTGCCATGGCAGCTGTTATTTTTTGGTTGGTTGCATACAATTTTTTCTCTCTCCTGCAACCGGGTATTTAAACTCTCTCGCACTTAATTAAACGGTCCATTCTGTTAGAACTTGTTCTATCTTCTTCCCCGATTTCTCTCTTCATTCTTTTTTGTTCTTGGAGAAGCAGTAAAAGTTCATTCATATTTCCAGAAATTGCAAACACCTGTCAACTCGGTTTTATCCTCACTACCCCTTTATTAGATGTCCATTTTAAAGGTTCCCAAAGGAGTTTTTAACAAGATCGAGGGACTTGGACAACGATTCCTATGGGGCGGAGACAAAACGTAAATTAAGAAAAGGTGGCATGAGCATTGTGAATTTACTCAATAAAAATTGGCAATTATTGGCAAATGGTGTTAGAGATTCAGGAATGGGACAAATTCTCCTTGGAGAAAGGTTATTCTCAAGAAATATGCAGGATCTTGGATCCCTTCCACTAAAAGATGTCCAAGGGTACAGCAAGGTGGGGTGGGGTGGGGTGGGCGGGGCGCAGCATAGGCATAAAAAAATGTAACAGGCCTATCATCGTTTTTAGGAAACGAGGTGTGTCGATGGATGGTGGGCAATGGGGAGAATGAAATGTTTTGGTTTAACTCTTGGGTGGATCGTAAACCCTTGAAAACAAAGTTCCCTAGCTTGTTCTTATTGGCAACAAACAAAGAGGTAGTTGAGAGGTTATGCTAATGACATTTCCTTGTACAATACTAGATGGGAGGTTGAATTTCAAAGGGAATAGGAACTACACAATCAATTAATTAATGGCCACTTTATGCAATGTGTGTATATATAAAGGACGGAGGATACGATGATTTGGATCTTCAATGAGAATGGGAGCTTAAATTCTCGGTCAGGCATTTTTCTATTTCTCTTGATTGTGTAGCAGAAAAGCAGGTTAAAAGAGCTCTTACAAATTAAGATTTGGAAAATCAGAATACCACCCAAAGTTCTGTCTTCTATGGCTTCGTTATTTAGATAGGTTGCAAACAAACAAACAAAAAAAATTGTTACAATCAAAGGGAATCATTCTTGATGAAGCAAACATGCCATACCCTTGGTGTAAGAACACAGTGGAGGACTCCAACCACCTTTTTATCAACTATAAATGGAGTTGATAGATATGGGAGAAATTATGCAATGGTGGAAAGTGTATTTTTGTCAACCAAGATCATGCAAAGAGTTTATTATACAGTGGTATGATAGGCTAGACAGGGAAGAACCGTGGCGGTGTGTTGTGTGTGGAGCGGCATTGTGGTGTTTCTCATTAAAATGCGATCATTACATTAGATCCAAACGGTGAAGTGAAGTGAGGTATTCAATATTCATTAGATAAGTCTCCCACATGAGACTCTCAAATTCAATGTATATGGATTAGCCCATGGGAAACCGGTACCAGCGGGATGTGACAAGGTCACGAGGAACTAAGAAAGTATTATTCTCGTAACTTTTTCTGATCCAAGGTAGCAGTTACATGGGTCTTGAATCCTCTCAAAAGGCCATGGAAATTGTAGAATTTGTTTTAGCAAATTGATGCTTTTATGGACAGTGGTGGGGAATGTTACATGTAAAAAGACTTTTAGAGATTGCGTTGATTCTTTGACAAAAGGGAAGTGGACAAAGAAATCGTCTGCGTTGAAGGTCATTGTATGCTTAAAGCAAGGGGCTCGGTGTTAAACAGAGTGGCCGTTGTTTATTCCCAGTGCTGTTGGTCAGGCTATCATTGTGTAAAGACCCCTGCTTATCTGAAGCAATAGTGAGAAGATGATTGCTATTTGTAACCAAAGCTTTACTTGTTTTAAGTTAGACTTCTTTAATGAAGTCATTGCTTAGTCAAAACTAAGTTAGATATAATTATCTTTTAAAGTTAAACTTAATCACCAAATAATTTTCAACTAATAGAATTATACTAAAATTTGATTTGAATATCTAACAATCTCTACTTTGACACAAATTTCACCAAAACATTGATTTTTCAGAATCCTGGCTACACACCATCGAATCAATCTTGACCCCATCTGATTAACACCTATGTGTAGCCACCAAGCCAACTTCACCCTTGTTGTCTTCAATCTTTTCAATAGGAATTCTCTCACTTCTAACTACATCTAGAGACCATATATAGTAATTGGCATTATCCAAGCTTTTTTATTTTTTTCTACCAATTTCTCATAGAAGAAATTGCCACTCTTCTTTTCGTCACAACCACCTTGCCTTGTGTGATTTCTTTAGAAAATCAATATAACACTCCACATATTTTTGAGACATGTCACACCACCCAAACCATGCTTACTACTTATCATGAGTAAATGCTTAATATTACAAGAAAAATATTAAATACCTATAGAGCAATGAAAATTTCTAAGGTGTTATATGTATGCTTCATTTCTATTAATCCAAGATCTACACTTGTTGCCTTAAGATTTTCCAATAATATTGACTCTTACCTAGATTTAGCAATTCGTTAGAGCACCATTGGATCAATTAAGAATTATTTCACGTGCAACTGACACCTTTTTGCATTCTTATTAAACCAAGATCTAGACCTACTGCCTTCAGATTTTTCAATAACATTGACTCTTGCTCAGATCAAGAAATAATGTTAGAGCATCACTTGTTCAATTGAGAATTATTGTACTTGCAACTGACACCTTATTGCACTAATCTCAAATCTCACCAAGTAAAGTTGCTACAACAAATCCCTCAAACATCATCTCTATATCATTACTTGTGATTTTATGTCGTGATAATTTTTCAACCTATGCTCTGAAATCACTTGTTGTGATTTTCAAACAAAAGCATTTCAACTCCCACACAAAGGAAAATCAAGACAAGAGATCCATATTTGACATGATTTGACACCTATGGTTACATCGAGAAAAATCTCCATTATAAATATAGAGATTACAAAAGATACAAATCACTCATAAACAAACACTAAACTCAACTTCAAAACAAATCTAATTTCCCAGCTTACTAGTGTCTAAACCCATGGAACACCTTCTATCGCATGTAATTCGATATTTCGTCACTCTTTCTCATATTCTTACAACTCTTACATTAGAAATCAGATAGAGATTACATCTCTCTCATTCTTGTAAAGACTAAAACATACTCTACTGTCATCAAGAAATTCCTAATCATTAACATTTCTAACCCATTAAGTATATTTTCTCTTTAAATAAATTTAATCGCCAAGTAATTCTCAATCAACAAAATTTTACTAAAACTAAAACGGATTTTCAATTAGAATTTGAATAGAACATAAAACACTCTCTCACGTCTTGAGTAGTTGGTAAGCTTCTACAACTCATTTTCCTGCCAACTGAAACAGCGAGGATGAAGGGCCTCCAACAATCTTAAGTTTACCCAAGACTTGATACTTGGACTTGCCAGGAAATTAAAGGTGGCCTATGTTTGTATTGTACCATATCCCCGGGAGAAAGAGAAAGATAAAAACTAAATCTGTTTACTCATATATATATATATATATATATATATATATATCATGTCAGCGTCTAATATATTGCAAATACTCACAATCAAGAAGTACCATTATTTCGGTTCTTCTTCTATAATTAAAAATTCTGATCAGGCATCATCAAAATTTAGGAAGAATGGCATGAAAGGGCTGAAAATCTTGCACAATAACATGTTAGACTACCTACAAGTATGAAACACAACAAAGTAAATACAAATACATCTATAGCTGAAAGTTGCAAAGTATTACCGTATGAAGGCGGTATAATTAGCATAAACACTTTTACGCATTTCCTCTGCAGACGCCTTCCTTAACTCCAACAAGTGTGAACACACATGCTTAATCTCCTGTCAAAACAATGAGCCAAATTGATTATCTTCAACATTACCGATATTCTGAAATGTGGCCATCTTGTTATAACAAAGTTTTGCAACTTTTCTTTCGTTTCTTTTCCTGTCTTGTGTAGTACTAACAAGGAACCCTATTTGCTTGCAGTTATAGTTTCCATGATCATTTCACACACAAGTATTGATGAATAATAAGTAAAGGGTGAAGCGAAGACAAAGAGAGGAGACCTTCTCGGTCATAGCATGGCATTTGGAGAGGAGATAGGCATCGGGGTCGAACTGAGAAGCTTTGAACACCTTCAAACGATCGCTGAGACTGAGGTGACCCTCCAGCTCTGCTGAGTCACCTATGCTCATTTTTGTATCACCAGAATGGTAATCTTACCAGGGAAAAACGAAAGGCAATGATATGATGCCGAGGGAGAAGTGTAAAAGAAAAAGGAAAGAAAGAAAGAAATGGTAGATGATAAAGAAACAGTCTTAGATGAGAAGGAGCTTAAATTGGGAGGCAGAGGCGGGCATGCTTGGCTCTTATTTGGAGCAACGTAGGACTCGCTTGGTTTGTTTCAGATTGATTATAACCATTATCTTATGGAGATCCCCAAGTATTTTAATTAATTTCCCTCTAATGTAATTTAGAGGTTTTTCTTAATTTTTTCTTTTGCCCTTTAATATTCCAAAGAGTTTGCTGAAGGTTTTATTTAATTCCTATCACGTCAAATTTATATTACTTTAATCTTAATCATTTATAGTGTAAAAATCTGCAACTTTATTTAATCTTAGTTTTAGTGCTAATTACTTTTTACTACTAATACTTTAACTTTTCCTAAACATATTGTTATAAAGTAATAGTAAATTTATAAAGCAAACTCATATTACAAAAACAGAAATACTTATAATATTTGCTTAAAAATTATCAATGACTAATTATGTTTTTTTTTTGTTACAATCAAAAACTAATTTTAATTCAAATATAATTACTTCATAAAGAAATACTAGTAATGTATTTTTTTTGCTTATAATTTATAATTTCTTTTGTAAACTACAGATATTGGTGGTTGTTGTATATCTATATGCTTTTTGAACTCTCTTTACCTCCAAAATGGAAGAATAGAGTAGCATCATTTAATTTTTTTTTCTTGTTTAGTGAATTACTACTCTGAATCTTATAATTAAGTAGGTGATTATTCTGTGGTATGTAGTCATGAAATTTCATTAATTGTTGATAATGTTGCTGGGGGACAAAAAATAAAAAAGATTGAACTCTATGGTTGCTGTTTTGGAATGAGAATTATCCAGATTTAGGCCTTATCCTAATTATTCTGTTGAAAGATGCATGATTTTTCACATTTGGTTATGAATGATACTCCAGACAATGTTACAGTAAAGTCGAAACCTGAAAGAAGTGTTTTTCACTTCCTTTCAGGCTTCAAAAAGTATACCCCTTCACCATCTGCGGTGGTGGAGGTACCTGGTGTTTAAACTTTAGCCAAGACATCAATCACTTAGAAACAAAAGTAGGACTTTACTATTAGAACACCAAACTGAAAAACTTAGAAATTGGCTTCAAGGCGTGTATCAATGCCACTATCCTTAAGGTTTTATTCGCCCCCACTTGTAGTGTGCAAAAGAGTTACCGGCGTATAAACCTCGAAGATACAATGAAGCCCAGTGATTGATGGCGTTTTGCACTGACGAAATCAATCCACTGAGCACTTATCGGAGTATAACAAGATTATCAAACTTCTATAATATTTTTTCTGCAGGAAAATAGTATAGAAGAAAACTTGGAAGATGTTTGAGGAAGAAGAATGAGAGATATTACTGTTTTTCTAATTTTCATTGGATAAGGAGTGTCATCTTTTTTAGGCATAGATGCCTGTTCTCAACAGACACTATTTGTGTCTGTTTCAAAGAGTTGCTCCTGTTGGTCTTTTCCAACAGATGTGACTCTTTTCTTATTTTATTTTATTTATTGATTTAATTTTCAACAAACACAACCCTTCTTTTAATTTTCAATTTTACTTTCAAACCAGTCATATCAATATTATTAATTCTCTTATCCCTTCGATATGATTCATATTTTTATTTGAAAATGTCCAACAATCCCCCACCATTTTCAAATTAATCCAAATTTTTCGATAATCTTGGAAATCAATTACATAAATGAAGGTGTCTTCCGATTGAACCTTCACTTAGTGAAAACATATTAAAATTAACCGAAATTGCATGGTAGACTCTGCTTTGAACCAGCTATTCCATTTGGTTAACCGAACACATTTCACACAATGATTTCAACACCAATGAATGCACAGTATCGACGACACTTTTATGACCATGCGTCCATATCCTCTGCCACACTTCACACTCACATAGGTAGATCCCATAAATGTCCCCGTAACTAAAGCATTCTAACAAATTATGTTATGGGTCTGTTAAGATATATAACTCATCCTTTCCTTATCATTATGGGTCCCTAGCACTTC